ATATTGCTAATGAGATTAAAACTATTGTTTGGGAAAATCTCGCACAGTCTTCGACAAGATTTTGCGGACCAATTAAATTGATATTCTCCAAAGAAACTAGATTTAATAACTTCAGAATTTGGGATATTAGAGTAGAAAATGATAGTTCTTGAACCATTCAAAGTATCAATTAGTGATACCGGATTTCCTGTGTGCGCTGTATTTGTTCTTTGCATAATTGATGGTAATGTTTGCAATGCTATTTCATCTTGTTCTTCAACAATGACATTCTTTTTATGTGGAGCTAAACCAAGCGAAATAAATGATATTTACATTGTGGCAAAAAAATAATTCAAGAATGAATGTTTTGCCTTCTGATTGTCTCCTCTTCATTCATTAAAAATTAATTTTGAGTGTATTTTGCACATTTCTTATCGTTTAGAAATTCGAACATGACAAGTGACATGTGAAGAGCAGAGAATATGGATTTGCTCCACGGGCTGTTTAATAGGGAGTTTTAGCGCCTCCCGTAAGGTAGCTACGTTATGCACTAACAGTCACGTGACGAGCCTTGAAGTCATGTCTTACCTAGTGCCTAAGGTACGAACTTTTACCTTCACAAATAGTGCACGCCTATAGGAGTCTCTACGATTACCTTTCAAGCGGCAAAATGGCAGCCTAAAAACAGGAAAAGTTGAATTTTTCCAACTCTGATAAACTGATTCTCGTATGAGGGGCAATTTCAATCAACGCTAGCAAGAGTTAGCGAGATATGTTGGAGAGGTAACAGGAAAGAAATTCGCGAAAAAGTTCAGATCATATCGTCGGAATTGGATATGTCTTATGCTCATAACGAACGCCGTTTTAAGATATTTCCTAATTTTTTATGAAAAGCCGATTCAAAATACCAGACTGCATACTCATCACAGGCCACACAATCTAAAACTCCGTGCACAATGTATATTTGTTATTGTAGAGTCGTAACGTGTTTTAAACGTCTCACCACTAACCTACACTAGTAACGTGATCAATAGAGTTTAAGGATATCTCCTAACGCCTGGTGCTAAAACTCATTAGCACAGATCCATTCATTTCGAGCTTTCGCGCCAAACTATTGCACCCCCCAAAAAAGTTAAATCTGAACTTTTGGCATTATTAAATCAATTAATGAGGTAAAAGGGGCATTATGTTCACAAGAATCACCATTAAAAGAACACGCGAGTAGTGATTCAAACTGTTTTGTAAGTAATTCTGACACATTCTTCTAATTTATTTTTTTCAATTTTCATCTTTTTATTTTCAGATTCCCTTATTTTATTTTTCTTGCAGAGTATGCTTTGAAAAATTGAAATATGTTAAACAAATGTAATGTCTGAATCATGAGGGCTAATACAAGTATTTAAATTTTCTAAATAACTTACAAAAAAAATCGAAAAAATTTAAGCTTTACAAGCAAATTTGTTTATTTGTACATTATTTACACAACAGACCTCCACAACCTACGAGAAATTCTTTTCAAATAGTTATTAATTTTTTCCTCCTAGATCGTCAAAATTACTCACTGTGACCGCTGCGAATACCTCGCACGCGTACGTCCAGATGGAGTGCACGCAGGAAGTGAATAGGCGATGCTCAGGGCAGGATGGAGCTGGGGCGCGTAGGAGAGTGGTTCGGGCAGATATTTTCCTCTTAAGGTACTTGGCGTGGGCGTGCCAGCGAAGGCCTCTGTTGACCATCACACCAATATCTTTTGCCAGGGTAGGTGCGTGCCTGCCAACCTCACGACTTGGGGTCGGCAGTCGGGGGACGTTGAAAGGTACGCACTTATGTAGATCGAGAGCGAACTTTTTATGTCTCAGCCATTCGGGAAGCCCAGCAAGGCAATCATTCAGATATCTCACCGATTTCCTTTTGGCCGCCGACTTCGCATAGTAAGCGAAATCATCCGCGACCTTTAGGAGCCTGCAATGTTGAATGCCCGTGTTTCTTTCAACTGATAGCAGAGTCTTTGACGTACAGACCGAATAGGGTCGGGGAGTGCTCGCTTCCCTGTGGCATACCGAATGAGGCTCCTCTTAAGGACGATTGTACGCCATTGCGAAACTTGAATCGGCTATCTGCCAAGCGATTAGTCGGACGTAGCAGTCGCTACGTCAATGCACGTAAAGCCGGTTTTACACGATCATTTTTTCATCATTTTTCGCCGGTATAGAAAAGATACAGGCCAGACTGGATGTAATTTGTACGAAAAAATGACGCATGCTTAATTTTTCGGTACAGAATTCATCCAATTTGACTACCGCGCTCCTGGCGGCACGTAACGGGACTTTCTCTAATTTGTTATGCGTGTGGAGCGATATGATCATTTTGTTGTTGCCTGAGAGCGTTCTGATGCGCTGAATTGTAATGTGAAGTAATTATGTAAAGATAAATAAATTATGCACTGTATTCTAATATTGTCGCATCCGAGCTCAGTCCTAACCTAACCTAACTTAATTTGTTACCACAGATGCGATGTTCAAATGTTTGAACTTCAGCGCTACATACGGCGTCCGGAGGAAATATTTTCTTCATGATTACTTACATACAAAGACAGAAATGACAGTGCAAAACACTCATCCAGTTTCGGCACCGAAACATACTGCGTAGAAACGAACGTCCTATTTCCATCCATTTACTGTACGGAAAAATGATGAAAAAAGGATGCAAAAATGACCGTGTAAAACAGGCTTAAGACACGCGAGCGCCCCGTGCCATACAGAATCGAATGCCGATAGCATGTCTGGTAAAACCACAGGCAAGTCTTTTGAGTAAGAGACCGATCTCGGTACACAGCCGCGTGTTGTTGCGCGGAACTGGCGCCAATTCGAAACCTGAATTGCTCATCTCTAAGAAGCTGAAGGCGCCGTATTTCCCGTTGCCGGCGCTCGAATTATTTTGCAAGAAGTGAGAGGAGACTAATTGGTATGTAAACGCTTGGAAGAATTTGGTCCTTGGTATCATGAATTCTGTCGTGATTTTCCATGCTTTGGGGAAGTATCCTAGCGCTAGGAACTCCACCCCGTCGGCGCTGAGCTGGCTGGCTTTTATACCGTCCGGCCCGCATGCCTTGCGCGTGTTGGTGTCGTAGCGCCTCGCGGAGCTCCCTTCTCGTCACACGTCGCGCAGAGGTGCTCGGCGCGTCGGTCAGGTAGTCACGGAAGCTGAAACATTGCCTGGTCCCCGAGCTCGACAGACTAGATTTCAGTGGCGCCTTCCCACAAGTATTCCGGCTGCAGGGCGGTGTGACCGGACGGTCGTGGTGCCGAGGTGGACGGAGCGCGCCTCGCTCCGCATTTCACTCCCGCCGAGCGGCGAAGTCTTTGCCGACAGCTCGCACCCTCGCTACATCCGCGGGATCGCCGTAGCGGCTGTGTGGTTTGAAATATCTGCGGAGCTCCAGCGACGTCCTTCGCTGCTCATCTGTAAGCTCAGGAAGCGCTTCCGGTGCGCGAGTAATTATGGTGTTTAATTTGTAGGACGTTCGAATCGCGGGAGTTGATACGAGTCACCCCACTATCGATTTCGTCCCGTGAATCTGCGACACTGTTGGGTAGAAGTAAGGTCAGAAGATGGATCATTCCCCGAATCTGGTCTTCGGAGAGAGCATCCAATTGAGTCGCGAGAGCGCGTCTCTTACGCCGCTTTATAGTGCGGCACAACGGGGGATGGGCCCGCTTCCTCTGACCAGGTCGCCTCGCCGGACGGAATGTCGAGGCTTGTGGGCCTCTCGGCAGATTCCCGTTGAGAGCTCGATGAGCGCTGCAACGGCATGCATCTTGTTTTTAATGTACGATGCAGTGCTGCCTGCCGCAATTGCAGCATTTCGGGCGGGCCGAAGTACTACGTATGGGGCAGTCCTTCCTGCCGGGCGGCCCTCTCCCGTGCAGATCTTGCATCTCACGGGATATTCGCAATTTTTTGCGAGTATGTCGCCATTGCAGCTTCTCTCGCACAAGCGCGGGCGTTTCCATTCCTCCCGGGCGACTTTTACGTCGCAGGAGGCAATGGCCCTGATGCCGAAAGCTTTGCGCGAATCGTCCACGTGCGCATGGAGCGAGTTCCTGCGGTATCATTCATCTCCGAAGTTCCGGCGGTTTACGAGAGTTGGCGGCGAACATGTTGATGAACGCCCAACGGCCTGTGCAAAAGAGGTGATAATGATAATGCAAAATACATGTATGCAGATTTGTTGCTGAAGCATTAGTAGGACATCTTGGACTAGAAAAATATCAAGAGACGGTATAGTTGATACAACTCAGTCTAACTTTCCCTGTATCTACACCGTTATGTTAAAGGAATATGATTACATTAAAGAGAGTGAAGGCATTCCCGAGAAATTCCATGGGAATTATCAGAATCAGTAATTTCAGTACACTGGCTATCTAGCAGTGTCTTCTCAATTCTTTAAAGAACAATTTATTCATGTTTTTATTGAACGAAAATACTGACGAATGTAGCTAATTAACAAACAAGTGTAAGATAATATTTTCAAAATACCCAACTGCATGAAGCTTTTTGCCCCGTTCTGGTCCTTCCACAATTGTTTAGTCTGCATAAGTGACAAGTATTTGTGAAACCTTGTATAATTGAGGAACTGCACTTGATACACCTAGATGGGGCACAAGATCAAGATAAGCTAAGGGATACATAGCATACTTGGGTAAATATGTGAAGGTACAGGTCCCAAATAGGATTATGTCATATTCGGAGAGTGGTGATGCTCTACACTGGGAATGTCCTCAGAAGAGCAGTCTGTCCAAGAGATCCCATCTTTTAGGAATTGATAACAGCTGGGAAAAGGGTGGGGCAAAACTAAAATTATAGTCCAGGCTTTAAGACTACAAAATTGACTAGTACAAGAAAGTTTGTGCCATTCGATTGCACTAATTTATCATTGTTTTAAATCTGAATATTTAAGTGTTTAGAAAATGTATGGTGCTCCATATCTGAAAATAAGGCAAGATGACTAGAAAAATTTGATCCTATTTAAAATTTACATACTTTTATTTGGACCAGTATCCAATACAGATTAAAGCTCAAAAATGTTCTTTGAATGAAATACAATTCCTATATAACTTTTCATACGCATGCATTTCTAAGAAATGAAACATTTATTTGCTTTCTAAGCAAGAATTGGACAAAAGTATGATGAAATTGACCGTATGCAATTCAGAGAAATTCTATGAATTTGGTCAGGAAATATTGTTAAAAAATTCCATTCAAAATTAATGATGAGAAATAGCTTACAATATTAAATACACCAGTATGAAGAAAAGGAAATATATTTGTATTTGACCGCACACAGTAAATACCTTTAAAACATTTGTGCACAATAAAATATGTAACCATTTCTACTATGAAAAAGTGGGAGATCTTTTCTCATCAACACATATTTGATTCATAAATGAGACAGTTTTAATACAAAAAGGGACTTTTGTTACCATTACAATTTTTCTGATAAATTAGGTTGTTGTTAGATGAAGAATTCACTCCATGGTTCTTGAACTAAAAAATGAGATGTTCAAGTATAACCAAGTAGTGAAAGATACACAGCTCTACAAATATCGAATACTTTTGAGAAGCCTTATACATATTGTATTACACATGCATTACAAAAGCCTGTTCATTACTGGTTTCATAAAGCAATGCTTCAAATCGGAAGTAATTGAGTCAGCATCATTGTCTACAAGAACTATTTACAAATTAAATATATCTGCTTTTGACATTTCTGTGTCTTTATCTTTTCTGATATAACTTCACAGTTTACAAGCATACACTTGAATGTGTGCACACACATGCACACGTGCATGCACGCGCACGCACATACACACACGTTCATACAAATAAAAAGAAAAGAGAAAACATTCTTGTGTATGTTTTGAACAAGGAATCAATCACTAATGTCTCACTTCTCCATAGGTAATAAAACATTTCTCTACAGAATCAAAATTCATTTTAAAAGAGCATTTTTTTTGTTTTGATTATCAAACAGGCACCAAAAATTAAAGTCAATTTTCTTTGACATAATTGCAACTATTTACAAGCAATAATTAGTTTCCAAGAGTCTGAGAATATTGATCTCATAACTATTACTGCTGCAATAACCATCCACAGTGCTACCTCATTTTCTTCTAATCCTAATTATTAATTCTCTTTTGCACAAATTATCCTTCCTAAGGAAATATATTACTTTACATTCAAATGCCAAAAATTGCTTTGTAAATGGTAAGCAATACATACCATGAACAAATTGTAGAATTCAGAAAACACTGTCTTAATTGGAAACTTTCAAACCTAATCTAGTATGTTATGCTTAACAGAGTCATTTTTCTGCAGGCACTTGTAGTGTAACTGTACGGGGACCTCCTTTATCTGAAATATTGACACGTAGCTCATGAGAAAAAGGTTCATTCATTATAATATTATCAGCAATGCCTGGACCTGGTCCAGCACTTTCTGGATGAACATCTGGAGTCGACGGCACTGTGCGTTCCGGTATAATTCGAGCATACTTTGATGCTGGAGGACCGTAGTCGTGGTCTTCCAAACGTGTATGTATCACATTCTCCAGCTCTTCTTTTCCCAAATGGCATCCTTCCTCTCCAATTGAAGTCTTACAAAAAAGCAGAGATCTTGATGGACCTAAAACAATAACAAATACTAAATCAATTACAATTTATCAATTCTCATAATTTAAGGCACGAGTAACCAATGAAAATATATGAATCCCTTTTTAACGAAACCTGCCCAAAGACATCACAAATTGTTCTGGCAAAAATTGGCTGTTAATACAGGTGACAGCTTAATCAAGGTTATGTTACATAAAGCATACATTACAGCTAATTGTGGTAAATTAAATAACATACAATTTATTTCATTCCAATTTTTCATTAAAAATCAATTTAAATATAATCTTAAACCAGACAAAATTGAATAATATACTACATATGAAGTGCAAAATGCACAAAAAGCTATTCACTCGTAGATTTTATTCAGATTCACACAAAAATACTTGAAAAGTTGTTTGTAGAGTAACTTTACATATCTTTTCAATTGTGTAGATTTCAATACTTCCCAAAAGTGTCCTTTGCTTTGATAATTTTAACCATTGGTAACCACAGACACTTCAAAATGTCAAAGTTTTCTATTTCAAAGAAGGCCAGCTTATAAGCTGAAATTGGAGTGAAGTTTTCTCCGCAAGTACAAATTGCACTCAAATCTTTGATAACATGAGTTTTCATGTTAGTTTCCTTCTTCACATCATAAACAAATCTTCCTCTTGGAACATTCCATGAATACACCTATTGCAAGTACTTTCCACACTTCAATCACAACTAATGAAATCTCTTAGCTTAGACAGTGTGTACCATTATTAAACATAAGGATGAAAAATGCACACATTTAAGGAAAGTTTGATCGTCAGGTCTCAGATTTTTAAACCTTTTTTATTCCATGAAGAGTAGGAAAAAATACAACACACATTTTTCCATTTTATTCGTTCCCCCCACCCCCACATTGTGAGTATTTATTTAAAGGGCGTTTTTTATTCCTTTACATTTGAGTACAAGTGCTTAAACCAATTTCTTAAGAAGATTTTCAAACATTTAAATAATAATAAGATAATATTTTTAAAAAAATTATCTCAAAATTGTAGGTTTTTGAGAAAATGGCATGGAGTATTTCTGACTACGTGATTTTGAGCTCATTTTCACAGAATTAATGAGTTTTCAAGAAAGTTCATATTTAACAATATGAATGATATATAAAGAAAATTACATTTGTGTAACTTTCATGTCATGATTTTCAGTGCATGTAGCACTATTCACAAAAAAGTTTGAAGGTAAAATTTAGTCCTGTTTTTGAGAAAATCTTGTTTTTAGAATTTTTCAATTTTCATTCAAAATTACACAAAAACTATTCATATTTTGAAACTAATGGTGCTACAGAATGGCACAGACTTTCCCATATTAGTTTTCTCCTTTGGTCCCGGCTAGCTATTTGGACTTTCCACATACTCTTGCCAGCTACTGTCCAGTGCCGCCCACAATATAATTGTTTGAAATTTTCTTAATGTATCGGTTTCCTAACAGAACAGAAATATTATATCAAGTGTATTAAAGATCAGTAAAACCTAGTCCTAAATGGCAATTTCATTTGAAAAATTTTGAGCCCGTTTTTAAGAAAATGAGGTATAGGTGCAACTGTAAATTCAAAATTTGAATCTCTTTTTCAGAGGATGTATTTAAAAAATTTCATTATAAGTCATTTGAAGCATGTTAACTCACAAATACAATCATTTTTACAAATTTCTGGAAATGTGCATATTAATGGTCACAATCTCTCATGATAATTTCATAAAATTACATTTGTGAAGTTTTTGAAAAGAAAAAAGAATGAAAGCAAGAAAAAAAAAATTATGTCATACTAAAGAATGCAATGAGCATTATTTGCTAGAAAAGTTTGTAGAAAAAAAATTTGGAGCCATTTATGAGATAACAGCATTTGATCCATTCTGAGGAGGCAGAATTTTGAGCCTGTTTGCACAGAAAACTATTGAGTTGTCAAGAAACTGTATATGACGACATTCAAAGCACATGTACTCATAAATATAATGATGTGAACAAATCACTGGTAATGTAAATATTAATGACACAAGATCGCCACCAAAAATAAAAAGAAGCAACAAGGACTGAAATATAAGTTGATACTGGAGTATAATAAGTGCCCAAAATGGAAAAAAATTAAATCACATGGCACTGGAATATGAATGATATAAAACGAAGGAAGGTCTCAACTCAAAACAACAGGAAACTAACTGGTGGCAAGAAGTCTACATTCATTCGCACAAAAAAACTAAAGATATTTAACTGAAACAAACCAACAAGCACAATTTTAAAATTGGACTGTTGCCCATCAATTTTAGAAGTTAACAAGTGCATGATTCTTGATGTTTGAATTGAATTTGAATTGGTCCCTTATTTTACATGGCAAGACTAAGGCTGTCAGGCCTGCTCCGTCATCTGACCATGCGAATTTTGCTCCTTTCACCTGATAGCGGAGAAAGGAGGTATTTCTTGGGTGATGAAACAGGCAATTTGAATTTAGTTAAGAGGCTTCATTTAGGCTTCAGAATCTTTTACATGCAGTAAATCTACTAACATGGGTCAGCTGCGTTACTTCCTATTCGAAGGATTTTCTCGCCCTTAAAAATCCACGGCTTTGAACCCGTGAACTTGTGTATAACAACCCGATACACTACTCATTACATCATCGTCATCACAAAAATATAGACTAGCCATATTACGAAGATTGTAAATAATTTGAAAGAAATAGAAACATATCATGGATGAACATTACACTGGCTTAGAATTGGAGTTTGCAAGTGCTGCAGGTAGGATGAAGAGAGCAGGAAAATATGTAGATATTTTTGTAAAAAATGCAGTGATAATTTTGCGTTGACTGCTCTCCAAGTTGTTTCATGTAAATCACAATGACTAAAAGACAACCTTGCCCTAAAAAGTGGATTTCCTCACTTTTGAAATATTTTGTATTTTTATAAGAAAAATGTTTTATTAATGTTGTAATAGCCGATCCGGTGGCCGAGATCGCTAAGGCAGTAGTGCCGTAGCGATCTCGTACCG